GTTATAGCCAATTACATTACATTTTTTAGTTTTGGAAGTCCCTGTTGTTCCCCACCCAAGGATCTCTGGCTCAGGAGAATTGCAGGATGCCTGAAGTTTGCATTTGGAGATGGTTTTCCTGCTGTTTCCAAGTTTGTGTGACCTGTGTGTCAGGGAGGCAGAGATGCTGTGGGAGAGGCTGGGGCCACGTGAGTGGGGCCTTTGCAGCCCAGGGATAAGGGAGGGCTACCTAGTGGAAGCTGGGCGCCCCCCCAGTGTCAGCCTTCACACCTCCAGGCCACGCCCAGCGGGCCCTCCCAGTGGACTGCTCCTGCCTGTCTGTCTGCGGGCACAGTCCTCAGAGGCCGGCCTCAGGGACTCGTTCTGCAGAGTAGAAATCTGAGCCTTGAGTCGGCGAAGTTGCCCAAGGTCCCTGGGCTGGGCATTAGCCTGGGAGTGAAGGTCAGACTCAGCAGGGACACCCGGCACCACAGGCCTTGCTGCTGGGATGGGCACATGCCCGTGGCCAGAGCTGGGCGTGGCTGTCTGTCTGCCTGCAGGGACCTGTCTCCTCGCTCAGCGCCTCTGGCGTGGGGCCTGGCCCCAGAGCCAGTGACAAAACTTCGGGGGCTCAGCGCAACATGAAATGCAGGGCCCTTGTTCAAAAAGTAGGACTCTGAAAATGGTGACAGCAGCACTCACCTGAGCGTGGGCCTTGCATGATGGCCCAGGCCGCGGGGCCCTGGTGGCCATGCCAGCGCCTGGCTCTGTTTCCTGCCCAGAGCCCTCAGCCTGCTACCTGCTGAGGGCTGTGTGCGTGCTGCTCTAGACAGAGACGTAGTTTCAAAATGCTTTCAGGCTTGTTTCCCTGTCCCTCCCCGCTAGGAGTTTGATATGGATTTATGCAGGATAGTCTGCATTCAGCTCTCCGCGTGCCCTGCTCAGGGGTGAGGCCGAGGGTCTGGAGTGGCCTGGGCAGTGCCACAGGTCGGCAGGACTGTGGGGAAGGTGAGCGATGGGCAGGCGTGACCCTCGTAGGAGGCCTCAATGCGGTCTGGGCAGGCAGGTGGCCGGCACCTCTCCCTGTGGCTACCTCATTGGCTTGTGCCTACACAGTGGCCCCGTGGTGAGGCGCTGGGCGTCTCGTCGCAGCTGTGGGTCTGTGAGCCGCGTGGGCAGGGACATGGCCAGGGGCCGCTCTGGTTAGACAGGGCGCCTTCGAAGGTAGGTCCCGCCACCATCACAGAGGCACCAGGGGGACCCCC